ATGAGACTTCCTTACTTGGTTTGTAAGTCTTTGAATAGCTAAGCAATGCTGAGAAGTAACATTGGAGACTGTTGGAGAACAGCATATACAGCATATACGTATGTTCTTAAAAATTATTGGTTTTATTATCCTACTTTTCTGAAGAGGCTGAATTCCTGAGGCTGGCTGCACCCAGCAGTGCTGAATTTGGTAATGTTCATAATCAGCCATCACAAAAGTGATTGCATGCAGAAATGATAGACTTGAAAATTGTGCTTGTAAGTATGTTACCCAAAATATGTATTTTACACATCATAGTTCTAAATATATATTCATATTAGATCTAGAATGTCATGATTATATATGTATATGTAAAGTTGATCTGAATATAATCAGCAGCATTTACTCTTCTGTAGAATTATGGGAAGAGTTAACTTGCTGGCTACAGCCTAGGAAAATCCTTCAGTAATCTTAATCAGAATATAGTTAAGATTGGAGAGGCTGCTTGTGGGGAAATCATGCTGGGATGACACTCTGCAAGGCACTGAGAGGCATTCTCCAAGGCAATTAATTCATTCTGTAGTCTTTTCTTTACGTCTGATATCAGCTTCAGAATTTGGGGGAAAGGAGATTTCTTGTGGTTCTGATTCATAACACCAGGAATTATTTGTTTGTTTATATGTCCTATTTTTAAAGGATTGACTCCGGACAGAGTCATAGGAGTTAACAGGCAACAAGTATATTAAAATAATCAAACTTTAATAAATTATAAATGGATTTTTTTCACAGTTCATGGAGGCCTTGTTAACATTTATTTGAAGAAACTATCCATCCTCTCACAATTTTAATGCTTTGTTTCACAGATTGTATTCCAATATCTTTTTCAACCTTTTTAAAGTTGTGTTTTTCATTAGGTAGAATATGAAGCCTTTAAATACATGATTTCAAGTATCCAACATACATTTCATTTGATTGGTCAACTGAGTAAAAGGAAGTTATAGCTGAATAGATTTTTAGGTTTTTAATTGCCTTAGCTAAATTGCAATGATCCTATCTTTGCTTACAGAGTCTGGAAAGCAAGAGAGCTATTGTATTTCCCTTTTCTATCCTTACCTTTAGACTTTACTGAAATACATTTTATCATCTGTGCCTCCCACAAACGTCAGTTGGATATATTACAACATAAGCCTTTTTTATGATATAGTACCAACAGAAATATATCTTGTTGCTTAAGGAAAAAACATGGTACAGTTCTTTAGCAATGAGTATTAGATTGTATGGCCCCTTTTCCTATCCTTTGTACTTTCCATGGAAATATCGTTGTTAGCTTTGATATATATTGCATTAGTATACTATAGTAGAATTATATGACTGCATAGAGATTAAATCAATGTCCTTATTTTTCTCAATTCAAAGAAATGGCAGAAAACCCTATATCCCTATATCCCATAAACTCAGAAGATAATTTTTGTTTGTGGAAGATTTTTTTTTCTGCAAGAAAGAAGAGAGGAGATTGCATTCTGAATCAATAAGAGGAATTAGTACATCTGATCCAAATCATAGTCTGCCAATTATTTACTGAAATTAGTAGCTCAGTCCCAGATCATATCTTCTGAGTTCATTTTTTTCCAGCTACTGTTTATGTGCCACATTCCGTAATAAATTGCAAACAGCTGGGTGACTGCCTAATAATTCCCTAGGGCTGCCTGTGAAACATGCATAAATATTCATATTTTTTCTTTGCAGTTGTACAGTATTTAATGCAAAACATGTAATATGAAAGTTACAACAGGATATGTAGTTGCATTACTTTCTGGGCTACATTCACATGTTCAGGGATCTGCAAATTTGCATCTGTAGTTTTGAACATGCTAATCCTGCTTTTGTACTTGGTAGAAAAGGATAGCTGGTTATTTAAAAACTGAGGTATATGATCATATGGTTAAAATGTTGGAAATTAGAGCCAGCATGTCCCTTCTGAATACACATCTTATCCGATATTACATTTTGCCAATTGCACCTGAATTTAGAAGTCTGTATATTGAGAAGGTTGATGAAAGAGCAGATCCTTCTGTCAGGGACACCTATGAAAGGTGGCTTGCACACACGTGCACTTTGAGGGCATCCCTGGGGAACACAAACGAGTTCCTCTTTGAAGCAGTTCAAAGTTTGCTTCATTTGATACTTTCTGGTTTCTCAATCATGCCTATTCAGTTCCCAAGGACCCCTTCACCCTGCTACATGTGATATTTCCCAACACTGCTTGCTGGTTGTAGAATATCATAACTTTAATACATAGGTATTCATGCACCAAACACCCTTGGCAATTATGGTTAATGATGTATACATTTTATCTTAATAGTATATTGTGGGAAGCTTCTCTGAAATATTGGTAAAATTGAGACAAAGGAAATGTTCTCCATAATTTCTCATATAATTAAATAACCAATGGTGACACAGTAAATTTTTATTTGGTAGAATTGAAATTAAGAGTTAACCAGACTTTTTTATATATATGAAAAATAATGCCTAAAACTAAGAAAACCTGTATTGGGAAGAACACACTGAGTAAATAGAAGGAAAAGAAAGGAAACAAACAATTGGTATATTTAAAAAAGAGACATACAGGTGGGCTTTGAGAAAAAGTAAAATATCATTTTGAAAAAAATAAGGTTATTTGATGTACATTTTAACAGAATCATATGTTATAGGAATTTTTCATATAGTGCTGTCTTTACATGAAATATTAATGGTTTGTCACCAATTGGTCATATAAATAATAAAAAACATAATATATTGCTATATACAGTGGGGCAAAAAATTATTTAGCAGCCATCAATTGTGCAAGTTCTCCCACTTAAAAAGATGAGAGAGGCCTGTAACTTTCATCATAGGTAGACCTCAACTATGAGAGACAAAATGAGAAAACAAATCCAGACAATCACATTGTTTGATTTGGAAAGAATTTATTTGCAAATTATGATGGAAAATAAGTATGTGGTCACCTACAAACAAGCAAGATTTCTGGCTCTCACAGACCTGTAACTTCTTCTTTAAGAGACTCCTCTGTCCTCCCCTCATTACCTGTATTAATGGCACCTGTTTGAACTTGTTATCAGTATAAAAGACACCTGTCCACAACCTCAAACAGTCACACTCCAAACTCCACTATGGTGAAGACCAAAGAGCTGTCGAAGGACACCAGAAACAAAATTGTAGACCTGCACCAGGCTGGGAAGACTGAATCTGCAATAGGCAAGCAGCTTGGTGTGAAGAAATCAACTATGGGAGCAAAAATTAGAAAATGGAAGACATACAAGACCACTGATAATCTCCCTCGATCTGGGGTTCCACACAAGATCTCACCCCGTGGGGTCAACATGATCACAAGAACGGTGAGCAAAAATCCCAGAATCACACGGGGGGACCTAGTGAATGATCTGCAGAGAGCTGGGACCAACGTAACAAAGGCAACCATCAGTAACACACTACGCCGCCAAGGACTCAGATCCTGCAGTGCGAGACGTGTCCCCCTGCTTAAGCCAGTACATGTCCGGGCCCATCTGAAGTTTGCTAGAGAGCATTTGGATGATCCAGAAGAGGTTTGGGAGAATGTCACATACCTACTGTGAAGCATGGGGATGGCAACATCATGCTTTGGGGCTGTTTCTCTGCAAAGGGACCAGGACGACTGATCCGTGTGCAGGAAAGAATGAATGGGGCCATGTATTGTGAATTTTGAGTGCAAACCTCCTTCCATCAGCAAAGGCATTGAAGATGAAACGTGGCTGGGTCTTTCAGCATGACAATGATCCCAAACACACTGCCCAGGCAACGAAGGAAATAGCTTCGTAAGAAGTATTTCAAGGTCCTGGAGTGGCCTAGCCAGTCTCCAGATCTCAACCCCATAGAAAACCTTTGGAGGGAGTTGAAAGTCCATGTTGCCCAGCGACAGCCCCAAAACATTACTGCTCTAGGGGAGATCTGCATGGAGGAATGGGCCAACATACCAGCAACAGTGTGTGCCAACCTTGTGAAGACTTACAGAAAACATTTGACCTTTGTCATTGCCAACAAAGGATATAAAGTATTGAGATGAACTTTTGATATTGACCACATACTTATTTTCCACCATAATTTGCAAATAAATTATTTCCAAATCATACAATGTGGTTGTCTGGATTTGTTTTCTCATTTTGTCTCTCATAGTTGAGGTCTACTACCTATGATGACAATTACCGGCCTCTCTCATCTTTTTAAGTGGGAGAACTTGCACAATTGGTGGCTGACTAAATACTTTTTTGCCCCACTGTATTTAAGATACAAGATACAGCAATATCCAGATACAGCCAATAAGAAAGCAGCTAACTTTATGAGAACTCTAAATTGTGAGAGGGGGTGGCAGTGAGATTTTAAACTCTGCTCCCCTTCAAAAACAGAATAAATTCAGCCAATTTAAACCATGTAAACCCAGCTGTACCACAAGCCCGTGAACAGCTGGTCTGCACAAGTTCCAGGACTGCTGCTGATAATAATAATGAAGATAAGCTGAAACTTTGATCCCCATTACTGGTGAAGGCAGAACGATTGCCTTCAACACAAAATTATGGTAACAAGAAATGCAGTGCATCCCTGTAAAGCATTTTTAAAGTTCAGAAACTCTTATTTAATAATTAAAATAAGAACTAACTGAATATTATGACGATTTCGGAATTGCTGTTTTCAAATTCAGAATGATTTTCTTCATTGTTCCCTAAATTGCTGCTGCTTCTCTTGTTCCTTCCAAGTTTTGTAGTAGCATTTCTTTAAAAGCAACCTTATTTTTTTAAGAATAGGTCTAAAAGCAGGGTGAAAAATTACCTGAGATGTTTGCTTAGGATATTGCTGGATTACGCTGGAAGATTTTGAAAACAGCTTAAACTGGTTAGATCTTAGTATTTTCTTAAAACTCTGCTTTTGTGTGTGTATTGGTAGCTGCTTGTTTGAGTTACCTTTATGGGGATTCTTTTGCCTCTCTGCAGCTGGGACGACAGCAGTTCCGTCAGCAGTGGTATCAGTGATACCATAGATAACCTCAGCACTGATGACATTAATACAAGCTCCTCCATCAGCTCTTACGCCAACACCCCTGCATCCTCACGGAAGAATCTAGAATCCCAGGTAAGGTTTCTCTTAAATTTCATGTAAATTATAATAATGCTGAAGGCACTCATTACCCCGAAAGCTAGTTTTGTTGTTTATAACTAAAGAGAATAAATGATTAAAGAATGTCAGGGCTGACTTCTAAATACATTTACTAATTGAGCATAGCTACAACAGTTAGAAGATTCTGAGGCTTGCTTTGAGAGATGACACACCCAGAGGAATGGGGCCAAATTAGAATAATGAATTATCCATACTAATGTTCTTGCTTAAGGTTGTAACAATATTTCTATTTATGTGCTTACATGGCCAATTGTGTAATACATGGCTGAAAAGAGGTTGAGATAAGAGAGAAACATCTGCATGTCCTATCTGTTGATTTGTTTATACTGGCACTGATTCCCTTCACATTCAGCATATGAAGAATTATGTCCAATACCGCCCATCTGCAGAAAGAATTGGATTATAAGTATAAATCCTTCCGTTTCTCACCATCCAGTCAGAGCTGAAGAAGCTTCTTGGGTGATAAGCGAAACATCTTCCAAGAAAAAACAAAGTCCAGTTGCCTCCTGAAAAAGTACCTTTGGGAAAAGAATTGGATTGTTTCTCTCAGACAGCCTCCTTTAGATCCTCAAATCTTTAGGAAAAAATTCAGAGATAGTTCGGAGCAGAGTTTGAGAATATTTAGCAATACTTGTATGTCTGAAATCAAGTAATATGGTATTAAATGCTTTAATGAATACACAACCCTACTCACACAGACACTTCATATTTCAGAACGGGCCATAATGTTTTATATATATTAATTAAGGAATAGAAATCTAGTTTTGGTCACGCAAAAGCTCAAGTGTTATTACATTCTCAGAGGAAATGTGAACACTTGCTATTTAATTAAGTATATTCTGATTTTCTAGACCTGCATGTGGCTACAAGCTAAAAGCAGCTTTTGGAAGCTTTTCACAAGTAAATTATATTCTAATGTTACTTTCTCGTTCATCAAATTTTCATCCAGCAGACAACATAGTAAAGAATCCTGAATCAGTTAGACGTTTTTAATAATTTTCTATCTCTGAACTACTAACATATAAGTTAGGATCATATATATTATTTATGTTGCTTTATATATAACACATATAATTCTTGTTATGCACACCACACACACACACACACACACACACAGGATCTATGGGGGGTGTCTTCCAAACAAGAATCAAATTGTGTATTCATTCAAACTTACTACTGTATAAATATTTTGTTATTATTTTACTTCCTTTCCCCCCCATTTTTTGACTAGAAGGAAAAATAACTTTAATAACAGTTCTTGATGTATCATAGAGTTGCCATAAAGTGTTAAATTGCTTTTGTACATCGGTGCAGGGATCGTATTACTCTTTGTTCACTTGAGCATATAGCCCTGGTTGCATGAAAACGTTTTGCCTCTGGTTGTATGGGGGGGGGTTGTTGCTTTAGTTTCAAACTGCTAACATTAAATTCTAAACTTGATGTTCTATGCCCTGCTTTAAAGCATATATGTGTGTGTGTGTGTACACATTTATATGTACATTTGTGTGTGTGAGTGTGTGTGAGAGAGAGAGAGAGAGAGAGAGCTTGCATTTTCCTCCCACAACTATTATTAATAGAAAATTAAAACAATTTCCCCAGAATTCTTAGCACACCTTTCTTAGCAAATGGAAACCAACCCATAAAAAAGTTTTCGCAATGTTCTGATTATCACACCAATCCAGATGATGAATGTGATTTGTTGGAAAAAATGCGGCATTTCTTGATCATTTCTGAGCTTCATTCTGGCAGGAGAAGTTGTAAGAAGAGACCCATTTTAGTCTCTGGTAGCAAAAAAAAAATCAGGAGTTTGGCTGCACCTTTTTGAGTACATGTTTTATTAAAAGCTGGTGCCTTTTAGTAAAATGTGATAGCTGAAAAACTGCTGCCAGACTTCTTAAAGTGCACACAGAATTTATTTTGAGGCATATTTCTCCTGTTCTGCTTTTCTACTCTGCACTTTTTGCAAGTATTTTCTCCATAAAAGATCCATTTTTTCTTTGCTGCTTTCCCGTGTTGTCATATTTTTGTGTGTCTTTTTTTCTTGTTTTGAGGACCACATCTTAAAATTCAGAAAAGTACACCAGTGCTTTGAATTCACAGACTAGTTTGAAAAGTACAAATTAGATAAATTCACATCAAAATGTGAATCCCATGAATTTCTCCTCCTTTACAGTATAAAAATGAAAAGCAATGAGATGGACTAAGTGTAAATAAAAAAATCTCTTTTTTTAATGTATGTGTCTTAACTATAAATGAACTAAATCATTTCACTTTCTGGGAGAATTCAAAAGCTGGAACAAAGATACTTTTATATAGAGTTTTGTGTGCTAAATTAGAAGAATCACAAGTATTTTGCCAATACCAAGGGAAAAAAAGTAAATCTATGTGTCTAATTATTATTCAAATATTAAATGAGATTATTAACCTAGGCCTGCAAAATTACAATCTATAGCAGCAAGTTTCTTTCAGTTGTTCTCTTTCTGTTGTTCTCTATTTCTTTCATTGTTTAACTAGATACTGAGATACAGTACATTACTTTTAAAATGTGCCTTGTGGAGTTTGGGGAGAAAAGAACAACCCGATGTTAAATAGATAGGCTTGCATATATATAACAGAGTGCTGGCTGTTCTTACCACAGAATAATCTGTGTCTATGACTAGAATGTATATTGAAACTTTTTACACTGGATGGAATCCAGTTTGATTGCTCCATGAATGGAAGGAATTGCTGTTTGCAGAACAAGGGCTTCATTCACCAAAGGAACCCTCTGTGAGCTTCCTTTCACAGAGTGATTGCATTAGATGCTGACCATTCAGAATTTTCTGCCAAAATATAAATTCACACTCTGCATTTAAACTCCCGCCTCCCCTGCCCCCAATTAACTGAAACTAATTGCCATGTTTGTTCCGTTTGCTTAATTGGTATAGTTGTATCACATGGTTTAGGACAAATGGGCAGATTGCCTCCAATACTTTCATTCCGTGTGCAGAAAGTGCCCACGTTCTTGGAAAAGTAGTCCTATGGATGCTTTCTTCAACAGAATTTTATTCCATGGAAACATTCAGATATAATTCCATGTCTGCAATGACTGGGGAAGAGACAGAGGGAGTTTTCCAGATCTGTTTTGTGCTGCTCGGTGGCATTTCAGAGGCCATTTCCAAAAGGTGCATTGAGGTGGATGGAAGGGGGAAAGTCCTGCTGTATAACAAGTGTTATACAGGTAGTCCTCGACTTACAACGGTTCATTTAGTGACTGTTCAAAGTTACAAAGAGCGCTGAAAAAAGTGACTTATGGCAATTTTTCACACTTAAGACCATTGACACATTCCCATGATCACGTGATCAAAATTCAGACACTTGGCCACTGACTCATCTTTATGACCATTGCAGTGTCCTGGGGTCATGTGTGCTTCCCTTTTTGCGACCTTCTGACAAGCAAAGTAAATGGGGAAGCCAGATTCACTTAACAACCGTGTGACTAGCTTCACAACAGCAGTGATTCACTTAACTAATGTGGCAATAAAGATCATAAAATGAGGCAAAACTGTCTTGATTGTGGTTGTAAGTTGTGGACTACCTGTATTTGTTGCACTCTCACCCCTTCTAAAGCATTTTTGGGGAATGGAATCCAAGACCTTGCATAACCATCAGTGTTTTGGAATCTGAGCGTCGCCTTGCAGCTAGATGGGCAGCAGACACATTAAATAAATAAATAAATTTCAGCAATTTATTTAGTGCATTTATGTTCAATCTTTCTTCTATCAAGGACTTTAGGAATATACACATAATGCTCCAAACGGAAGCAAATCTTAGTTTTAATTTAATTGAATTGACAGCCACACTATGCATACGTATGTGTATGGAGCCATGGTAGTGCAGTGGTTAGAATGCAGTACTGCAGGTTACTTCTGCTGACTCCCGGCTGCCAGCAGTTTGGCAGTTCGATTCTCACCGGCTCAAGGGTGACTCAGCCTTCCATCCTTCTGAGGTCAGTAAAATGAGGACTCAGATTGTTGGGGGCAATACACTGTCTCTGTAAACTGCTTAGACAGGGATGTAAAGCACTGTGAAGTCACTGTGAAGTAGTAAATAAGTCTAAGTGCTATTGCTATTGCTATGTGCCTTAGCTGTGATTTTTCATAACATCCTTCATTACTGATTTTGAAGTACCCGTTTCTTGAAGACAAATCAGATGTTACATGTTGATTAATTTCCAAACAACTTTTATAAACTGGAAAAGTCACTTTTGGGATGAGTAATTAGAAATAGAGAAGTATGGGCATTTCTGAACCTGCAGCTTCCTTGCTTCAGCTCAGCCATTCAGTGGAATTTTTTTTCCCCCCTCAGTAGCACTGCCTGTTTCAGTTCCCTAGATCCAGGCATATTAATTTACATATTAGTATGTATATTAGACAAGTTGGTTGCTAATTATCTTTATTTTATATGAACAATATGATTGTTTTTCATTTTTTAAAAAAATCAAAGCTTTTGCAGATAGTAGAGTTTAAAATTTCTGTTTGCAATTGTTTAAAATAGGCTATTTTTTTATTTTGCATTGTTCTCTTTTAAAAAATTTTATCTAGCAATCTCAGTGCATTTCAGTCTTTGCCTTGCAGTTTTAAGAGATTACAATTAAGTTTCATTGTAAGCAGTAGTGAACAACATTGTAGAATCCTGGTAGGGTACCTTTTTAATATAACCTTCCCTTCCCCACCCTCATGCAATTTTAAAGTGGGATTAATGACACAGGGTGATACTATAGGATTAGTAGTATGCTATTCTTTTATTCTCACTCTGATCTCTTTATGTGAAGTATAATATGGGATAATGGTGTGAGGTATTTATAAAGTACACTTTCACCCTCAGCTGCCCTCTATAATAAGCTATGCTTGAGGATTGCTTTGTAGCAGTCTTCTAAACCTCTTAAACTGCAATATGGTTGAGGGGACTCTCCT